GAGGAGGGGCTCGGCGAGTCCTCTCTCTCTCTCTCTCTCTCTCTCTCTCTCTCTCTCACACACACACACACACACACACACACACACACACACACACACACACACACACACACACACACACAGCCGTTCGGCTCGCGGTGGCATTCGGCCGGGAGAGAAGGTGAGTTCAGATGTTTGCGTGACGGGGGTGAATCTGAGGTGAGCGGAGGTACGTTTCGCGCTGGTAGTGGTACATGCGCTGTAGTATGGAGCTAGGTAAGGTAAGGTAAATTTCTCCACACGCACATAAAAAAAAAACTGTTCAGTTTTCAAAGGCAAAACACAACGCTCTGCGGTTGGTGCACCCCTCTCGCACTGACACATTCCCCTCTACCCCTCATCCCTACCCTTGGCTGAGCACATCTACCTGCGAGCTAGCATCTCCGCATTTTCTCCTCTAGTCATCCGCCCGCGCCGCGCGTCACTATGGGCGTCTAGTGCAGCCACTGACAGAGCTATTCCGAAGGAGTGGTCGACGCCTCGCCTAGAGTCGGGTGGGCCCGCGCACTGCTTAGCCCTGAGGGGGGAGTGTGTGTGAGGCGGTCACACGAACATCAAAGAGTGGTGGGGCAAGGGGGCTCTGGGCTCTACGATGCTGGGGCAAGGCGCAAGGCCAAGGGTAAGGTACTTTAAGTAAGGGGTAAGGTAAACTTCTCTCCACACACACACGAGGTCGTGGGGGGGCAAGGGGGGGCAACCCTCGCGTCTCCACGTCTAATGACAGGAGCCCCACAGCATACCATTCAAAGTGCAATTCCCAGCGCGTGGGTGAGCGGTGTGTGTTGTGTTAGGGTGCCCACAGCGCACAGGACCCAAAAAAGTAAAAAAGAATTCTTAAGATACAAGCCTCTCTGTAAAAAAAGAAATGGGCCACCGCCAGAATCGACCAAGACCCGCTCCGACGGGAGCTCCTCCGGGCACCTCTGCTGCGAACTGCTCCTCCGGTGCCTGCCCTCCTCCCCGCTCCCCAATTCAGGGCTCATGCCGATCGGCGACCGGTGCGTTGCAGGTAGCGACGACCTCGAAGCACGACCTCATCGTTGCCGCTTGCCTGGACGGCGCAGCAATGGGGCTGAGAACATAAGCCACTTGTCGAACCTTCTCATCTCTGCTCCAGTAAGTAGGTGTAATCAATGAGCTGCGCACCGCAAGCCCGGAGGGCGTGCTCCCTCAGCTCCAGCTCGCTCGGTCTGCGGTGCCTCTTCACAAAGCGATGGCACGGAGGGTGCGGCAAGAGCAGGCGCGCCGACCTCCAGAGGCGCTTGGCGACGCCGGCTTCGAGATGCTTCGAGAGATCGGGGTGCTGCACGAGCAAGGTGCGACTTCTTATCCCTATCTTCTCACGCCGACACCAGGCCAAAGCTACCCAACGCTACTGCTCGAAGGCGAGCGCATGGTGAGCTCCTCGGCTGTGGCAGCAAACTGCTGGGACCATTGCCCCGAGGAGCCATCCTCGCTCTCGACGCTGCCTCCGACTGGCACCGTCCTCGCCGCGGACCCGCTCGCTGTGCAGCCGCGGCTGTGGGAGCACACATGGCGCCACCCTCTAGAGCTCTACATCCCGGACGCGCAACAGAGACCCGCACACTTACCTGGAGAAGCGGGCGCTCAACGCCACCCTCCTGCCCCTCGCAGGGCATTCGCTCCATGCGTACTGCTGATGCTGGGCGAGGGACGTGGCGTGGTAGTGAATGCGCCCTCGTCGCTGCCGCTGTACGAGCACGTCGGCATGCTCGCCGAGCAGAAGGCGCCGCCCGGAAGCGCCGACCACGGCGAGGTGTGGCCTGGAGATTCGTGGCTCGACTCGTGCAGCAGCGTATTCGGGTGGGCTGCAGCTTCTACAGGGCTTAGGGGCACAATCAAGCGCGACCCGACTGATGAACGACGTGCGATCGCCATAGGTGGAGCCCCGTCTTCTATGGCGGTGACTCGGAGGCCGCTCTTTGCCTGTGCCTTGCTAACCCTCCCCGCGCTTCTCCGGGCCGTTATTTTTCTGCCTGCCCCGCACCCCTCAGGCGGAACGTCTCACTGTTCTTCATCCGCACGGCTCGCTGCTGAGCGGCTGCCGCCAGCTTGCGCCTACGCTGTATGAGGGTGGCCGCCTCCTCGACGCGGCGATGCTCGTGCGTTGCGGCAAGGCCAAAGCGGAGGACTTCGTCTTCTTCCGTGGGCGAGAATTGCCGATGTCGCCGAGATGGCATCTCCATTTCTTCCCTGTATTCGGTTGAATCCGTGCCAAGGATATGCCCGGGCCCGCTTGTGATGCGACCTGCTCGTGCGTCCCCCAGGCGCGTGCAGTGGGAGGACGACGAGTTCGCCGAGCAGCTGGCGCGTGGCGACTGGATGATCTGCCCGAAGGCGCGCGGCGAGTGGATGGTCAACGCAAAGGGAGGCCACGGCTTGGGCGAGGATCGTGCGCTGAGCACCGCCGAGCAGGAGCTGCGCGACCAGCGGCGGCTGCGTTCGTCGTGGGCGGCATGGTCGCTGTGCGTGGAGAGCCTCGGCGCGGCGCACGCCCCCCTGCTCCGCTTCCGCCCTGACGCGCTCAAAGAGGCGATCGTGAGGGAGGATGCCACCTGGAGAATGACGCATGCTTTCGGACCCGCCCCTGGCGCACTCTCGTAGGCAATTGAGCGGATCAGCTTCCCAGAGGGCCCGCCTTCACGGCAGGACGAGCGATTGGCCAACGCGCTGAGCGGCGGACGGAGCTACGCTGTGGGGGACGAGACGCCAGCGTGGCAGGAGTCTAGAGACGAATGACTCGCTTACCTTCCTCGTTATGCGGTTCTGCTGCTCTGACATCGAGCGCACTTGTGCGTTGTGGCCCTGTGCGGTCTAGCTAGGTCTCCCCTCCCAATGCACTCCCGACTAGAAGACTTTCGCGTCATGCCACATCGGTCATTGCACCGACGGGGTGTGGCGGAGAGTCTTGGGTCTCGCCTCTCGGTCTGTCGGCCGCTGTCGCCAGCTCGCCACCCCCCCGGCCCGTGTATACTCATTTGGGCCTCAATCGTCATACAATGAATGCCTCCACTGGTCCAAGACTGTTGCCTTTCAAACCTAAACTGAGAAGACGCCAAGAAGAGAGAGAGCGCCGCCATAATACACACCGGCACCGCGCCAACGCGGCCGGCTCTGGAGGCCACAGCTGCATGCGAGACGTCCGCGGCCGCCGCGAAGTCACTTCTTCTTGGAGTTGTCGACGTACCCTCCCCCCTCGACCGGGACGCCGGCATGATCCACCTGCTCACGGCTCGAGTGAAGGAAGCAGCAAAGGCCGCTTTCGCCCCGCTGGAGAGAAGCGCCGGCTGAAGGCATTCCTGAGCTCGGCTACATCTCGGCTACATGTCGCACCGGCTTGGTGACGAGGCTGCCCTGCGGCAGCACCTCGATGAGGTACCCGTCCGGGTCCTACTCACAGTGAAACCGAGATGTAGCCGAGACATGATGATCAGTAAGTTTCTTTCTTGGTCGGGCACCTTGAAAAACGCGAGGCCCTTGATGCCGCCAGAGTTGGGCGTCTTGGTGAACTCGCACCCGAGCTCCGCGAACCTGTTCGTTCACAGCCGGCGTCTTGACGGTGTGAACGCCGCGTCTCAATGTTAGCTCGCAGCCGAGCTCACGGACCGCGCACACGCGTCGTACACATCGGGCACGGTGATGCCTACCCGCAGCTTCAGGCATGAGGGACGTCTCTTCACAGCGTCGCGTGCGCGGAGGCGGTGGGTGCTGCCGAGGTGGCCAAAGCCTCCACGCACCGCCTCGCCGTCCTTCGTGCCGGTGGCGTCCCCGTTGCCGACGTTGTACACCGGCCCTGTCTCGCCCTCGGAGCCGTAGTTCCATGTCAGCTCGATGCAGCCCGGCGTGCGCATGCAGAAGGCAAAGCGCTCCTCCGGATCGGACGGGATGCTGGCTGGGTCGACGGGGGCCACAAAGTAGACGTTGAATCCCCACTGCTCGAACTCGCGGTGCGTGACGAGGTTGAAGCCGAGCACATCGCAGTAGAAGGCGAGCGAGGCCGCCGGATCCTTGACCCGCAGCATCGTCTGCTGCATGATAAAGTCGCGGGTCTCCGGCTCACGCTCCTTTGTATAGTAGCGGTCCACGTCTGGCGCAGCGCTCGCGATGGCGCCGGCGCGAAGGTACCGCACTGACGCGGCCACCCCGCCGGTGGGAGCGAACGCCGCCGCGCGAGGCAGCAGCGCGCTGATGAAGGCGAGACGCCGCATTTTGCTGGCCTGATTAGCTGCCCACAGCGGTTTCTAGGACGTCAGCAGCGACTGCGACATACTTTTAGCTTACTGGGAGAAAAAAGAAACAGTGGACCTACATGCATTGTGTCGCAGTGCCGCGGGATATGCTCGCAGTGGGAGTCAGAAATGTGGTCCTTGCGCGAGGAATGCTCGATAAACTCGAGGGACCAAAATACGCGGAGAGGAGAGCGGAGTTGCGCAGAAAGGCGAGAGAAGCAGCGAGAGCAAGAGATCGGCAGACGACAGCGGCGTCTCAGAACGAGGCCGAGGAGAGCGATGAGTCAGGGGAAGAGACAGCAGGAGAGAGAACGACGAGAGTGAGAAGAATGCGAGGTGGCATGAAGGTCGCTGCAAGAATTGGTGATAAACTGCGGAGAGAGATAGGAAGTGGTAGACGCCCGAGGGTGGGCGACGGCTAACACCACACTTCTCCCCTAAAATCCCTGTGTGGTGGCGGCGTACCGTCCTCCCATCCCTCCCTTGGGTTGTCTGTTTTCTTTCTTTTTTTCGCAGTGCCGCTCGCAACGTCAGGGGTCGTCCGAGGATTTGGCCCTGTTTTTCTTTTTCTGGACGCTGTGCCGTTCGGAGTCTGAGCACGGTATGGCATGAAAAAGCCCACTGTGGAAATTTACGCGGGTCTCGCCCTCTGAGAGGGAAAAGGATGGAGACGCCGTCGGTCAACCCGTCATGGCAGGTGGTTTGCTTATTCTCGCTGCCACCGCGGTGGCTCACCAAGGACTTTTCAACGTGCGGCGTCATCACCGCGCGGCGCGCAAGCCACGCCTCACCCGGGCAAAAGGAACGACCGCGCGCCGCCGCCGCCCGCCTCGCCGCGCCGCGCCGCGCCGCGCCTCGCCTCGCCTTGCAGCAGCGCACGCGCACACGCACCCGCGCGCCCGCGCTCGCTCCGCGAGAGCGAAGCAACCCTCCAAGCGAGTTTCGAGCCGGGAGCCAAAAGGTCCCAGCTCGAACCGCGAACCGGTTCGACCACCGCCGCTGGCGGTTCTGCAAAGGCAGTCAGGGGCAGCGCCTGATATAACGTGAAATAGTGCGAGCGCGCGAGATACTCACCCGACCCACGTGCCCTCGCGAAAGAGATCTCGCGCCGCGCGCGCCGCCGCCCGAGAGCACTCCCACCCCCGCCGCCCTCGCAAGCTCACAGGTTGATTTGAGGAGAAGCAGCTGGGGGAGGTCAAAGCGGGAGAAGGCGGCACGGCGGCGGCGGCGCGGCCCCCCCCCATCCCCACGCCTCCGGGTCGTGCGTACCGCCTCCGGGCGTGAGTGTCCCCCCAGCGTCTCCGAGCTTAGTCGAGAGGAGAAGTGAGAGTGAGTGTCTAGTGGAGAGAGAGGGTGTGGCGTCTAATGCAGTGCATCGTGTTGTGGAGGGGTTGATGTCGAGCCATCTGCGCGCTCGGCACGAGCCCCTCAGGCGCCTGCGCGCCAACCACCCCCCGGTGTTTTGACACCATTATTTGGTATATTAACCTCGCGGCCGCCTAGATAGACTGAAAGAGTTAGACACCGCAGGAGTGAGGCTGCTGCTGCTGCTGCTGCTACTTGCTTGCTGCTACGTTAGCGCCTGCTGCTGCTGTTGCTGCTCCTCTGCTGCTGATTGTGGAGATACGATTTCTCCGATCACCCCGCCCGCCCGCCCCGCCCCGCCTGCCCGCCCGCCCACCCGCCTGCCCGCCCGCCCGCCCGCCCGTCCAACCACCCATTCCCATCACCATCTCACATACCTTCATATAGGCGCTCGAGACCTCCTCTCGCTGCCTACTCGCTGCCTCGAGGGAGGAGGGGAAGACGTCGTGCGGGCGCCACTGCGCTAGCCGGCCTGAGGCCCCTCCCCGGAAGGCAAGTATTAGCCACACGAAACCCGAGACCCCTCCCCCGCACCCCGACCCCCCCACCCCCTTGCTCCCCTCCCCCCCCTCGGGAGGGCCGAACTGAGGCGCCCGTGGGGACCCCACAATTCCCTTCCCCCCTCGGAGGGGGCCGGACGAGGCGTACCCCGAGGGCCCCGCTCTTTCCCTCGCATAGCGGCCACTCTTCGGATCGCTGGTCGAGCGACCCGGGGGATGCCCCGCGCGCCTGACCCAGGCGCGAAAAACGAATCTGCGAGGCGAGGCCGCTCACGCGGCCCGATGGGGAGGAACGGGTCGAGCCCCCTCCAACCCACCCGCGCTAGGTCTCGGGTTTGACGCATGGGGTCACTCCCGCGAAACTCGTGAACTAGCCGGGGCAGTCGGAGAAGTGGCAACTCCGTGCACTGACGGTCGGCCGCCAGAAAACACGCCTCCGTGGCTCGGGTTACACCAATCCTCGCTACCCAACGCGGCCAAAGGATATCCACCTCGAGAACCTCGAGAACCTCTGACAGGCCGCAGCTTGTCCTCTGCACTTTGGACGTCCGGATATGATCCTGGGGTGAGCTCTCGGCTGCCCTGCCTGTCGCCCCACCCAGCCACCTCTCGCACCCCAACGCTTACGCCACGTGCTCCCGTCAAGGTACGGAGCAGTGCACCTGCCTCTCACGCCCGGCCGCCACCGCGTGACTGTGCGCACGTTCCGGCCGCTCGCCTGGCGGCGGCGGTGTCTTTGAGGCTAGAGTGCAACCATGTCCCTGCCCGCCTCCCTGCGGGCGTAGAAGAGCGCCGCCTCCTCGGCGGTGGCGAAGCAGCCGAGGAATACTTTCTTGCCACCAACCTGCACCTGCAGCTGGTACTTCTTGCCTCGCCGCTTCTGTACGTAGGTCACGCCTTTGTAGCCGGTGTTGCTGCGGCTACTGGTGACCAGGGCGAAGCCCTCCCTCTCCGCCTGCCGGACTGCCTCGGCGCCAGCTGCAGAAGAAGGCGCGGGTGGCGGCGGCGGCGGTGGCGGCACGGTGAGATCGCTGGTGTCCCCACTGGTCAAACTATTAGCCTCATAATGAGGAAAAGGCTAATAGCGATTTCAAATAGTGCTACTATTAGCTCAGAGGGGCTAATAGCTGAGCTTCATAACGTCTGGAGCTATTAGAACACCACTATGAGATGGGCTAATAGCGACTATTAGGGCGCTATTAGGGCACTATGAGAGCCTAATAGTGGCCCTAATAGTGCCCTAATAGTGCGGTACCCGCGCGACGCGCACTACGCGCGGCGCGGCAAGAGCGATGGCGCCGACTCTCTAGGAGACGGGCTTCCATGAGGCAACCACGGCGAACGAGAACGTGGAGTCGTTGAACTTGACCGTGGTGACGTCAGGCTTGGTGGTGCTCTTCATCACCTTGACGCACCAGCCGCCGGCGGAGACGCCGGGCCACAGCGAGGGCGGCGCGAGCAGGAAGCTGGTCGTGCGGTCCGCACGAGCGCGGGTGTTGCCTGCGCAACAGGGGCACGGGGACGAGCGTCAGCCCGGCAGCTTGCGGCGGCGCGCGCGCGCGGCGACGGTGCGCACGGCTTGGGAGAGCAGGGAGAGAGAGAGATAAGGCCGCTGCCGCCGCAGAACGCAGGATGTGGCTGCGTGCGGGGCGCGGCGGGCGCGGGCGCGCGCTCGGACCTTGCAATTTCAAACTGCGCACGCCCTGATCACGAACAGGATGCGGGCGGCGCAGAGATCTGCTGCCGCCCGGACCGCCGCCCGGGGATGACCCAGGACCTCGCCGGCGCTGCGCCGGCGAGGGGCCGAAGCCCGGCGGTTGATCACGTTCTCCACACCCGCGCGCGCTGTGCGGTCGCCGTTCCGCCTCACATGCCTGCGGACAGCGCCGACGGGTGGTGAGGAGGGCGGAGAGCCGGCGGGCGCGGTGTGCGCGGTCGCCGCGCGCTGGTGGTGTGCGCGCGGTCGCCGCGCGCTGGTGGGCGACAGGTCACCGAGGCGAGCGGGGAGCGAGCGAGGAGCACACTGGCCAGTGTGCTGTGCGCGACTCTCAAATCGCCAAGTCAAACAAGAAAAACAGCTGGTCGTCGACAACAAACCCTGCAGTGGTCGGCATCAGCGCGCCGGGCGCGGCAGGTCGTGCTGCGCTTCGAAAAGCCGCCGGCCTTCCTCTCGCATCGTCTCGTCCAGCTGCGCCTTGACCGATGGCAGCGCAAGGCTTCTCGCCGGATCCTCCGCGATCAGCGTGGATGGACGCCAAGAAGACCAGCGCTGCGCCGCACGCCGCCAAACCACCACGCTGGCGCCAGCTCGCAGAGGGTTTCTCGCTGCACGCCAGATGGTCAGCGGGCGCCGATGGCGGCATGGGCGCGACGAGCTCCGTGGCCGGCATGTCGCTATGAGGCCCAGCTATTAGGCCGGGGCGCGCCGTGAAGCATGCGGCATGAATCGCGAAATCGCTAAGTGCGCATTATGAGGGTCCATTATTAGGACATCGGCTATTAGCACACCTAATAATTGCACTATTAGCCCCTCTGAGCTAATAGTAGCACTATTTGAAATCGCTATTAGCCTTTTCCTCATTATGAGGCTATCGTACATCCTCCTGCTGATCTCCGCAAAGTCCTGCTCCCTCCCTCGTCTCGCCCTGCGCGTCTGCTCACACACCCAGCCGTGCTCTGGTTCGCCTCTTAGATCGCCTCTGCCGCCGAGATACTGAGGCCGAGGCGCACTCGTCGACTTTGACTATTATCTGTCCTCGGGAGGGCGGCGGCGGCCGTGTAGGGGCGGCGGCGCGCTCCTGATGACAAATAGTCGCCGCACAGTGCAACACGGCTGCTCACACACCCAGCCGTGCTTTGGTGTGTCACCTGTGTCTCTGTCTTAACCAGATATCGAGAGCGGCGCGACGACAACAATCCCCCTAACCCTAACCCTAACCCTAACCCTAACCCTAACCCTAACCCTAACCCTAACCCTAACCCTTAACACCCTAACCCTAACCCAAAGTGGCGAAGAACTCGGGGGCGCATTCACCGAGAGGTGGCCTCGACGGACGGCTAGTTTCTCCATTCCGACCCAAGCGGCCCGTTCTTAGGACCTGCACAACGGCTTGGAATCCTAACCCTAACCCTAACCCTAACCCTCTAACCCTATACTTACTTCACGAAAACGGTGGATTCAGCTAAAAACAAGGCCAGCCCCCCTGTTTTGTGTTGGCTGGTGATACCTAAAGCTCCGCTCGGCTCCGCTCGGCTCGCTCGGCTCCACTCGGCTCGTTTGGCTCCGCTCGGCTCCACTCGGCTCCGCTCGGCTCCACTCGGCTCCACTCGTCGCTCGGCTCGCTCTGCTCCGCTCGGCTCCGCCCAGAGGGTGTGCATGACCTAGCTGAGCGCCACAAGCCCAGCTCGTCAGACCTGGCGCTTATGAGGTTGTTATGCTGGCTGTCAGCAGGTGTATGCTGGAGACAAAGTTGTGGACTCGGTATCTATTTCTCTGAGGTCAATGTGTACAGCTATGTCCTTCTTGACGATGGAGAACCTGATGCTTAAGTGATCGGCGCCAGAGCCGGGAGGTGCGCGCGGTCGGTCGCGGGAGAGCGCGATGCGGTGGCCTGAGCGAGGACGGCTGTGCGCCCGCGCGTTAGCCATGTCTGGGGAGGTGGCTTGAGGGGCTCTCCCCCGCGGCTCACAATCTCTCGCAAGCTACTCGACATCGGGAACCGCATGTGCGGGTTGGGACACGAGGGTAGTGAGGATAGCATGCGCCAGCCAGGCGCGAGGCGCCGCCTCATCCTCAAAGCACTGATGCGTCATGAGACGTCGCGGTGCCGTCACGGCACGGCCCACCACGAAAGCCGCGCCAGGAATGTCTTCGCCGCCGGGAAGTGCACCGTCTGAGAAAGCCATCGCTCTGCCGTCCTCCGGCGATCCGTGTATAGGCACGGGCGTGTCCTCACCGCTCCCCGAATGACCGCTGTGGCATCCTCAATCTCGCTGGCCCCCATGTATGCCGTCGCCGCGGCGTCGGCGTAGGCGTTGCTAGCGCACCCCGCGTGGCTCGGTACCCACAGGAACGTGACGGATTCGAGCTGGGCGCGATATCTGCATATCCCCTCTAATGCTCCTCCTCGATCCCACTCCCTGAGCCCCTCAAGAGAGCCTATCTTCGGTACGCCGCCTCGATCTGCTGTAGCGCGGGCTTGCAGTCGCTCAAGACGAGGCACCTCCTGTCCGTTGCATCTTCCGCCGTCGCCATCTTACGCAGGTAAGCCAGCACCGCGTACGTTTCCGCGTCTATCACCTGCCAATCGTCTGGCAGTCTGCCGCCCCGCGCACAGCCCCTGCCCAAACGCGAGCCGCAGCTCTGAGCTCATCGTCCCCGCCTTCGAGCTGTCCAGATCCCTCGACGGGGCTGGGAGAGCACGGTACGGGACTGGCAATATAAACGACACAGCAGTGAGCAGACGGGAGGGGGCCGTGTCGTCATCGAGCTCAAAAAAGAAACGCAGCCGCCCTCGACGGCTACGCGTACGTACAGCCCAAATGCCGCCCGGTTGATCGCATGCGGTACGCGCACGACAATTCACACTCACACACACGCACCTGACGCTATATTAGCGTGCCGTTCAGCAGCGACGCGCCTCCCCCCAGCAGCAGCCTCCGCCCGCCCGCGTCTCTCAGCGACGCCTCCATCCTGCCCGCCGCGCCGCCGTCGGAACCGCCATCGGCAAGCCCGTCCGCGCCTACAAGAACGGGCCACCGGTCCGCGCGCACTGCCTCTCACCGACTCCTCACGCCGCCTCTGCCACACGCCGAGCCCAAGCGACGCGAGCACGTTGGTCAGCACCTGCACCTGCCCCTCGAGCTGCGCGACGCGCCTGTTCACATCCAGGCGGGGGAGTGAGACGCCGTCCACACACCCACACGCACCGTGCCCCTCGAGCTGGGCGCACGTCTCCCACCCCTTTTGGAACTGCTGCGGCGTCTGCAGGTCGCCGTGGTAGAAGCGCTCGTAGTCCGACTCGAGTGGCTCCCAGCCGCAGTCGACCTGTCAACCGTGGAGATGGATGAGCTGAAGGATGAGCTGCGAGCCAGCTGCTGCCAGCCTGGCTCCCGGCGAGAGCGTACCTCGCCCCAGAGGCCGTCCAGGAAGGCGCGGCCTCCGAGCCCAAAGAGCCGCTCGACAAAGAGGTAAAAGTACTTAGTGTCCCACTCGCCTGGGAGCCACACGCATGCGGTCGTAGAGGCATTGGTCGATCAGGGCCCAGAGCCATCCGTGTCCCCCCCCCTCCAGCGGCAACATCTGGGCTGTATCTGGGCTGTATCTCGGCTGTATCTCGCTTGACACCTCGGCCACATCTGGGCTGTATCTGGGCTGTATCTGGGCTGTATCTGGGCTGTATCTGGGCTGTATCTGGGCTGTATCTCGGCTGTATCTCGGCTGTATCTCGCCCTCGAGCGGCGACAGCAGCATGTTCGACGGAGGGAAGAAGAACCAGCCCGGGACCTCCGGCGCGCAGACGCAGGGGAAGAGGAAGCAGCCGTACCGGAGAATGAAGAAGCCGGTCCAGAGGAGTGTGGTGCCGAGGGCGGCCCAAAAGATGCAAGGGCCTCCGTGGGGGAAGCAGACGGGCCAGCCGTCGAGGCAGTAGGGCCAGGTTTGCCAGAGGACGAGGAAGTAGAGGAAGGAGGCGGGCACGACCCAGAGGTAGAGCGGCGTCATCTGGTACCGGAAGAGGAGGATGAGCAGCGTGGTCCAGATGCCCGTCCACCAAAACAGCACGTAGCGGTACGTCCGGTAGACAACCTGGCAGCGGAGGCCCTGCGGGTGCGGCCGAGGTGTAGCCGAGGTGTAGCCGAGACCTAGCCGAGCAGACCTGGCAGCGGGGGCCCTGCAAATACGTCGAGGATTGGTCGACAAAGTCTTGGGGCAGGCAGGCGGCGAAGGCGATCAAGCCCATCGCCCATCCGTCCAGCTCCTATGGACGATACTATGAATTGAGTTGATGTCACAGACAACAACCGGCCCCCCAAGGCCGTCTGCGCCGGAATAAAGTCGAAGATGAGGAAGATGATTGTGGCGTCGCCGAGCGCGTTGCCCGTGCTCTCGACGTTGATAATGATGGCCGAGACGAGCGCGAAGTACGAGACGACGATCACGGTGGCGAACTCGGAGATGATGGTCCAGAGCACGACGGTGCAGTACGCGTATGTCTGCCCTTCGAACCGGTTCGCGAGGGAGCGGAGCAGCAGCCGGATCTCGGGCGAGGCGAGGAAGGACTGGGAGTCGTCAAAGTTGACAGCGTTGCCAATCATGAACCAGAAGACAATCACCTTGCCCAGCAGCCAGATGAGTCGGGGCAGCCACGGCTCGTCGAGCGTCCACCACTCGTACCACGTGGTCGTGTGCGGCACCTCGGCGAGAAAGTTTGCGACGATCATCGACTCGAGGAGAAGGACTTGGAAGACGATCGTCAGCACCGCAACCACGACCGCGACCCATTGCAGGAACTGAGAGCCGAGTAGGTAGAACCAGCAGAGCTGCGTGCACGGCCACGAGCAGCGGCAGCCGAGCCACGGCGCGACGAAGGCGCCGCTCGCCTTGAGCGCCGCCGCCGGCCCCACCACGGTCGCCATCGGCAGCGGCGTGCCAAACACATTGACCGGCTGCGGCTGGTTGGTGCCGGGGGTGCCGTCGTCCTGCGAGACCGCCTGTGGAGTGTGCTACCAGCGTCATCGCACCGTATCCTCACCCGTAACCATATTCTTCTGCGAGGCCGCCTGGTACTGCACCAACAGCGACTGCTGGTAGCCGAAGTCCTTGAGGTACGCCGAGATCGAGTTCCACATCGCCCAGGTGAAGATGTTCTTGAAGCCCTCTCTCAGCACGTACCCCTCCTTCATCAGGAGGGAGTTCGAGGTGCCGAGGACCTGGTCCCGCTTCAGCTCGTCCGCCATCTTCTGCGCCTCCTGCGGGCGCGCGGCGGGCGGGAGACCGAGGGCTGTGGCCAAGGGCTGAGGAGAGAGAGAGTTGCTACCCAACACCAGCCCTCGCTGAAGTGGCCGCCAATGCAGCGTTGTGGCGCAGAGCAAGCGGGCGCTGCCGCGGCAGGCGGCGGCGGCGTGGCGGCGTGGCGCGGCGGGTGAGGCGGCTGTGCTGCAGGCCGCCACGGCGGTACTGCAGGCCGCGGCTGCGATGCTGCGGCGGCGCTGGACAGTGGCGGTGCTGGCGATGGCGATCGGGTCGAGGCCGCGGCGCAGGTGGCGGACCGGGTTCAGCAGCAGGTACGGTAGGACTTGGTTGGGCAGAGGCAGCTCGTACGGCCGGAACACGCCGAACCAGGCCAGATTGTCTTCGGGTGGCGACGGCGGCGGCGACAGCCAAGCCTCGTCCTCGCTGCTGCTGCTCGCCGCGGCGGCGACCGGGGCGGCGCTGGGCATCACAGCGCCGCAAGTCGAGGACACACCTCGGCACCGAGCGGCGAGCGAGGCGGACAGCAAGAGGCGCGCCAAGGCGGGCCTGGAAGGCGCAAAAGAATTTTCCGCCACAAGCTCCTCTCACAGCAGACTGGCTCGGACTGGCACTACAAATGGCACAGCAGGCGACGGCCCCTTACGGGTCGTCAAAGAGGCCGGCGTACTCCTCCGGCCGCTCCTCCCCCTCCCAATCCTCCCCGGGCTCTGGCTCCTCCTCCTTCGCCCGCGCCCTCGCCCCCCGCCGGCGGCGATTCCGTGCGGCCGTCGCCCCCTCCCCCTCCCCGCCCCCATCACGGCCGGAGCCGTACCACCCAGCGCGCACGAGGAACGAGGACTGAGCCTCAACCTCGTCCAACCTCACCGCCCTCACGGCGGCGTCGCACGCCTCAGCCCGCGAAGCGCCAGCAGCATGCGCCGCGGCGTACGCCGCGTCGCCTACCGCCTGCCTCGCGAGAGACGCGGCGCGCCACTCGTCCTCCAGCGCCGCCGAGCCCCACACAGGGTCTCCCGCAGACCGGTCCGAGTCGCCGTCCGAGCTAAGGGGTCACTCCCGACGACCTCGGGAACTAGCCGGGGCAGTCGGAGAAAGGGGCAACTCCGTGCACTGACGGTCGGCCCCCAGAAAACACGCCTGCGTGGATCGCGTCAGACCAATCCTCGCTACCCAACGCGGCCAAAGGATATCCACCTCGAGAACCTCGAGAGAGACGTGAGAGTCGGCGACTTGGACAGAACCATCCGTAGACTTCTGCGCCCCGCCCCCGCTTGTGCCCTGACTGCACAGGACGCGACCTGAACTCGGTTGAGCAAGAGAGGCTGAGCCGCAAGAGGCGTTCAGCGTCTCCGGTACCGATACCGAGCCCAGCCAAGGACGCTCGGACGCGTAATCTGCCATTCCGCCACTGGACGGGCGTGAAAAACATTCGAACAAAGAAGAGGCGACGGGAGGAACCGGCGGAGGATGCAGTGACGTGAGACACACACACACACACACACACACACACACACACACACACACACACACACACACACACACACACACACACACACACACACACACACACACACACACACACACACCGCTCACCCACGCGCACTGGGCCTTGCACTTTGAATGCCGTGGGGCTCCTGTCGTCAGACGTGGAGACGCGAGGGTTGCCCCCCCTTGCCCCACCACCTCGTGTGTGTGGAGAAGTTTACCTTACCTTACCTTACCTGGACGGGCGTCGGTGTAGGCAGCGTGTCTCTGAGGCTGCCGGCTTGTGACACGAGGAAGCATGGAGCATGAAGCATGGAGCGTGTAGGGTAGATGTTAGAAGGTCAGAGGTCGGCAGCAACTGTGCACAGTCGTCGTGAGTGCGGGTGGCCGTCGGAGCAAGCCGTCAACGCGAACTAATCAACCGTCAGTTCCGTCTTGTCTGTGTGTGGCAAAGCAGCGAGAGCGTGAGCGTCCCCCGATCCGCATGGTGGCGTGTCGCCATCCTGGTAAAGGCACGCACGCACACTCACTTTCGTTGTTTGGTCGGTTTACAAACGCCACAGTCACTGAAATGAGCCCGCTCCTGAGATCAGAATCTTCACGAGGGATGAACATATCTACCCATCTGAACCCCATTTCGATCCGTTCGGTTCAACCAGCCGCCGACGCGGGCTTGCCGCCCCCGGCAGATCCTCCCGCGCTGCCGCTAGCGCCTGCACTGGCGCCGGCGCCGGCGCTGGCGTCGGAAGACTTTGCGCCCGAGGATGCAAGCTTCCACTTCGGCCCGAGTGGCCCCGCCGCCGCCGCCACCTGCTTCTGCGTCGCCTTGAGCAGCTCGGCCCGCGGCGTCGCGCCTAGGACGTGTCCCGGACGTGTCATGGAGGCGTGACCGTGCGGGAGGACCAGGGCGGCCTCGGCGAGAAGATTCGCGCCGGCCGTCGCCGCCGCCAGAGGCGTCTCGCCGCTCGGCGCTCCCGCGCCAACGGGCGGCGGCGCAGGATCGGTCGAGGCGACTGCGGCTCCCTTGCGTGCAGCCTGCACCGACCGCTCGAAGCCTGCTCACACACCCGCGATGCCGTGAAGACGCCGTTCACAAGCCAGAGACGGGGAGCAGCGACGCCGGCTCCTGCGCGGATGTCGCGGCCGATGCCCTGGAACCAGGCCGCAGAGCGAGCGCCTGCGGAGGAGGAAGCCCATCGGCGGAGTGTGAGCCGGGACGGCGCCCGCCGCCGGGTCGCTTGGGGCCGGGCGGGAGAAAGAGCGCCGAGCCCCGCCATGATGCTGCCGATGGCCTGCCCGCCGAGACTCGTCCCGAACACCTCCTTGAGCGCCTGCGGCACCAACTGGTCGAAGAGCAGCCGCTCCTACCACCGTGCCAGGCCGCACGTTGATGTGTGCATGCCGTTAGTTGGTCGAGGAGAGACGCCGCTCCAGAAACAAGTCGAGCGGAAGATCGCCCCCGTCCTTGGCCGCCACCGGCCGCAGGTGCATCCACCGGATCCGGACCTGGTGATTGCAATCAGTTCGTAGTTCATCAGCCTGGTGAGCCGCAGGTGCATCCGACCGGACGCGACACCCGTCCGCCCTCTCCTCGATGCGAGCGCCAATCGCGGCTCATCTCGGCTACATCTCGGCTACATCTCGGCTACATCTCGGACCACGTCCGTCATCTCCTCGATGCGAGCGTAGTAGCGCGCCATGTCCTCCACCCCGAGCTCCGCCGCCTCGGCCTGGCCGTACCGGCGCAGGTCTCGCTCGACGTCGCCCTTGTACCCGGTGAAGAGGTCCTTGATGGACACCTCCGCGTCGCGGAAGCAGACGTCGCCTGATCAGACTTAGCTACGTGACGGGCGCATTGCCCGCGCCTCCGCACCGCGCAACAGCAGACTTCGCCGCAAGACAGTCGCAGCGGCAGCCCGCCCATCCCTGCCCATCCCTACCCATCCCTGCCCATCCCTACCCATCCCTACCCATCCCTGCCCATCCCTACCCATCGCTGCCCGTCTCGGCCCATCTCCGCGCATCTCCGCGCATCTCGGCGCATCTCGGCGCATCTCGGCGCATCTCGGCGCATCTCGGCGCATCTCGGCGCATCTCGGCGCATCTCGGCGCGTCTCGGCGCGTCTCGGCGCGTCTCGGCGCGTCTCGGCTACGTCTGCGCCGCAAGAGAGTCGGAGCGGCAGCCTGCCCAGCACGCCCCGCAGCTCGGCCACGTTTCCCATCCGCAGCGCCGTCTCGGCGGAGTTCTCCTGCAGCTGGGCCATTGCCGTGCGGCGAGGCGCCTAGGAGGCGCCAGAGAGGTGTCAGAGAGGTGTCCAGAAGGTGTCCAAGAGGAGTACGAGAGGTGTCAAGGAGGTGTCAAGGAGGTGTCCAAGAGGTGTCCGAGAGGTGTCCGGCAGGTGTCCGGCAGGTGTCCATGTCTAGGGAGGTGTCTAGGAGGTGTCAGAAAGTGTGTCTGAGAAGTGCCTAGGTGCCTGGGAGGTGTCCAACAGTTGTCTGCATAACTCTCTCTCCGAATCCCGGGCAAGGTCATCTCGACGTCATCTCGACGTCATCTCGCCATCATCTCGCGCGGCCTCGCCTTAAGCGGCGGTAGCTGCTCCACGTGCGCCCAGTGGATCCGCATGT